CAGTACAAATAGCTTTACATGCTATTAAAAAAGAACATAATTCAATATTGAGCAATGTTAACTTAAACATTGTTGAATCTCTGAAATAACTATTTAGAGTATAAGTAAATATAAAAATTGGTTCTTGCTATGAAAATGTAGCATTGGGAAATTGAACTTTGAATTCCCTTGCAGCAGTCTGATTTATCATTTTGCAATAGCTCTCATATGAGAGAATACTCCCTTAGCATGCTTGAATGCCCTTCCGGTTGCAATGGACGGTAATTTTGGAAAGGATTTGAGAGTATCTTCCTGGTAAGACAATTCTGTGAGAGTCACTTTTTTCAATTCCACACTGTACATATTCATGTAGATCTCACATTTCATCTTGATGTGTATCATGGACATAATCCCAGATAGCACATAGAGAATTTAAGGCATTAACACATTTCCCATCTACCTCCATATCCCATACGGCAGTGGTTCTCAACCTCCTTTCAGCAATTCCACCCTTTCCAGACAGCAAGATGTCAGCAGCACACCTGCACATTCACAAACCTCCATGCATGATATGAGCCTAGCCTAAATTAATTCATAACAGATATTTTGAACTGTCAGCTGGCCAAACCTTTCAAAAAAGTATTCAAACCCAGTTTTTTCCCACTTCAATGAAATACCTGTGCCTGTCTTTGGTTGTCCAGAAAATCAACATGTGACTCAAAATTTGAAGTGACCTCACGCAGTTTGATCGCAAAGTTAAGGCAGAAACTAAACCTAGTTATTTTTCTCTTAATACCCAGAATAAGAGAAGGTAGACATACATCTCTGGTAGCAAAAAGTAATACACATCTTTATCATGGCAAGTATATTGATCTTGGCATTCCTTCTTGATGGATATTCTCTTAAAAAAAAAAAAGTGCATACCAGGTAGTGCAAAATATGATTCTATTTAGATTAAAAACTGACTCATTACATACTCCTGGTATACACTATCAGGAGAGTAGGCTGAAGTGAGAAGTGTCATGCTTAAGATGCAGTTTTTCTGTGTCTGGCCCACCCCTAATGTGTTTCTAGAATATACCAGTTAAGTAGTATAGTTGGCTTCTGGCCTTCATGCACTACTTTGCTGACAGGCAAAATAAAATAAATTCCAACACCCACAGCACCCTTGTCAGCTTCTCACAGCATCCCTGGGTGCTGTGGTATACAGATTGAGAATTACTACCATATGGGAAAGGTAACCTTAGCCAAGATTTCTATCAACATTCATATTGTAATGTGATGTAAGTTTTGATTTTCAGCTTAGTTAACCTTAAATAACTACTGTCATTGAGGTTCTTAGCTCCTCAGTGGGATCTGATGAAATACAGGAATAAAAAGGGATAAATAGCTCCAGACTAAAAACCAAACTCCATAACTCTAGGCTTAAATCACCATTACGAGGAACATCTTGATATACAGTCTTAATTCAGATATTCCCTCAGACCTTTGCATCACTGTGGGACACAAAGGCAGTATTAACAGTTCAACTTTTCGTACCTTCATAACAGTAATAACTTTTCGTACCCTCATAACAGTAATTATAACTTTCCTTTATCAATACAACCACACAATAGCCACACAATCTGATCCTGCTAGGACAGACCCTGGGATATGCAGGTCATATGGCAGGAAACAAGGCATTCTATTGCTGGCTTTCAATCTCATACTTGAGCAGTGTTAGGCCTGTTCTACTGAAAGCTGCTTCGTGCAGACAGTACACCTTCAGAACGGAGGATAACCCAGCCGACCCTGGGCTATCTAAGCAATCGTCTGCACACAAAGTGAAAAGAGTTAACCTATTATGTGATCGCTTCCTATGTGGCCTAATGTTAGAAGTCGATGGAATTCCGTGATCACCGTTAGGCCTTACCTTACGTAATGGTAGTCCATAGGCGTATTAGGCTCTGACACGGAGTCTGATATCGCTCATTTCTCTTTAACCTTAAACTTACAATTAGCTCAAAGTTGGGCGAAGGTTATTTTCCACGCTCAGTCGTAGGTCTACCGGAATACTCTCTGTGAGTCGGCTTTCACTCCGTAACGACGACACGCGGCCAGTCGATGAGACAACCTTCCGCGCAGAAAGATCACCAATCGCACCAGACCAACTTTCAGTTGTAACAGGCCAAGCGTTACGCCTTCAATCAACACGAAAGTTTTTGAATGGAGTGCCCCATCTCCTAATTTCCTTGGGTGAGAATGAAATATTTAATCTGGTCAGAAAGGCTATAAATATTGGTCACTAATTTTCTTGCACTGTTCCCATATGGTAGCTGATGAATTGAACTGCCACTTTTCAAGTGAAAACTTCACAACGGAACGGCCAGGGTTGCACAATACCACTGTTTGGTCGTCCTCCTCCTCCCCTAAAAATGTCTGCTTGGTCATTGAAAGAGATTGAGAAGGCTTTCGCGGAAAATCGTCAGTACGAAATGTAATTGATAATGAATTTACATTATGCGTGTATTTTGCGGGTGATGGTTCAGAACGATAGAGATCCGCAGGAATTTAGGACTTTGGAGAGTGAAAATATGCCTACGAATGTGCAACCCTGTGAAATGGCCGAGGGAAAAGCCATGGCGGCTCCCTGGTAAAGTAATGTCTGCCTAATGCTGGACTAACTCGGCCACGTCATTCTAGTGTTTTTCACTTGAGTTAGACATTTTTTCACTTGACTTCGACAACGGTGCATGGTGAGGGTGATATAGCGGATCGACGCAGAAACTAGGAGTTCCATTCTTAAGTGCAGATGTCGTGATGACATCGGCGACAACGATGATGATTAATTCCCTGCTGAAAAGAGGAAAACCGATGTGAACCTTCCCTAATACACAATATATTGAAATGATAATTTAATGTCGTAGTGAAAAACTAGGCTTTCGTGTCACCCATTACTGTTTTCCATAATATCTCAATAAAACAGACGAAGTTTTGGGCATCGTTCCTGGGTTCTGAAGTATCATTCCCCACGCCGAACTCACGTAGGCTGGATTAGGCCTATATAACGTGGATCTGGGAGTGCCCATGGAAGTCCGATCCAGTGTTTCTACATCATTGAGCCGATGGGAAATTGAAAACTTAGAACCTTTTTATCTAAATAGACTGCAATGAAGGTCTCCCGTTGACAACATGGCTATGCATGCGGTTCATCGTTTCCATTACATCGTCGTATGAAAAAGCCTAAATATTCGAAGGAAAGAAAGATGTCGCTAGTCACCAGGGGCACCTGCTCCCTCGCCTCCTCTCTGAATACCCCTCGCATCGGTGTCTTAATCAAGTGAAAAATTGTCTAACTGAAGTGAATAACACTGTTGTGCAAGTCAGCTGTTCTGGATCGCAGTTGGCACAAGAGCGAGAGTTAATCATCCTTGACAACTGGGTTGAAGGAGAAGAATCAGCCATGTTTAGAGGAAGACGAATAATGAATGTGGATCCAATATCTAGTCAGATATTTCAGCAGGCCTACTTCCTAAGCGTTAATTTGGAGGACGAATGAGGTAGTGGATCAAGGAAGATAAAACCATTGTTAGAATAGCAATCCAGGATGCAATTAACAGGTTTGCTCCCAGGGGGTGTTTAAGAGAATTATGTAAAAGGGCTATCTGCTCCATAGAATAGCAATCCAGGATGCAATTAACAGGTTTGCTCCCAGGGGGTGTTTAAGAGAATTATGTAAAAGGGCTATCTGCTCCAGTCAATAAGGAAGTGAAGGAGAGACATGGGAAGCCTAGAGGAATTGTCAAGTCAAGATCTGGTGTGTATATCAAGGTTGGTTAGTGGTATCAGGAGGCGATAATGCTCTTGGATTCCACGTGTCTAGGACAAGCGTTCCTTAATTTTAGGATAGACCTAATCCTTAAAGTCAAATTTTTTATTTGTTTATTTAAAAAATTTTTAAAATAGTATATCCATGTCACTTACTGCCTAGTCCCATCCATCTACATTTCCCCCCTTTTTACTTTGCTCATAAAAGCATCTAGTTAGTCTCTTCTTGAAAATAATCATGGAAGGAAAACAAGAAGGGAAATATAATGATGGCCTGCCATTATATGACTTGTGAACACCATGTACTCCCTGATTTCGCTATGTGAACACTTACCATAGGCCTTTGTGTACTCCTATCTATGATAATGTGAATACCTTGTTGCTCTCCATTTCCTTTCTGTTTCCCTTGCAGACAACATGGATATTTTGCCATGATCCCTTCTCCATCCATTTTCTTGGTCATTCAATGCATACCCTCCATATGCAGACCCTCAGGTCTGATATGGAAGGGTCCCCTGATAATTAAGGGGGGTTATTTTTCATGAGAAGCATGAGGGAATCTTGAAGTGTTCTCCAAAAAGTAAAAGTCCTACAATCCATGTGTAGTTGCCAACTTAACACAACCAAGCAGTATTCAATCCAACTGTCTTTGGCCTTCTGCCTGTGCATCCAGGGGGTCCAGGGACTCCAGAGATGCATAGGCAGGAGGCCAGGGTAAGAATCTTAACATAACCCCTGCATCTGCATTGAGGAAGTTTGCCTATCAGTTATCCCTACTATCCCTTCCTATTCCTGCCTTGATTTACTGGTCTCTCAGCTGTAATGCAACTTGTTTCAATGAATGACATGGACCAATGACTGAAATTAGTCATTAAATGTTTTTATTCCAAAATGCACACAAGGCTTAAAAAAAAAAAAAATTTTTTCATCAGTCATGCCTATGGATAGCTGAAGTAACAATGCCCACACACCATTCTTTTATTATATCAATAGGTAATTGCTACCATTTCTACAGTTTTTGGATTGGGTTCATGAGTGCCATGAATTCAGTTTTGAAACACCAAGAAATTCTTCCTTTGAAGTTCACTTTCAACAATAAACAATGTCTTTTAGCTCTGTATTGTATGTTAGCTATTACTGTTCTGTCTAATGGTATAAGCTTGAGCATACCCATAACTTTATTATGGCAAAATTGCAAGTGAAAAAATAAATTTATTTTCTCTGCCTTGCTAGAACCAAAGCAGGGTGATTATATTCTAGCAGGTTTGCAATGGTGGATGAGGGAACCAGAAAAACCCTAAGTGCCATACCCCTTTTGAAGACAAAGGCAAGCCCACGGGATAAAGATATGTGGGTCCAGAGGCTGAAGGAAGAGTATCAAGCTCTTATCAAAGTAAGTATCACAAGTCATCAATGTTTTGGCCTGATGAGAGTTGTAGGGAATTGGACCATCCCATGTGAACATGACCACAATGTGGGCTTGACCATTTTTTATTTGCTTTAAAATTGACAGGAAATAAAATATGATGGCTGCAATTGTGAATATATGGATATCATTGAAGTTGGATAACAATGAGCAAAGATGTAGCATTCCTTTAAAATTCCAAATTGGCTTATTCTTCCATGGAAGGATGGTGCACAATCGTTACAAACCATCACTTTTTACTATTTAGAGTTTTAGGACTAGACTGGTGACAACCTTTGACCAGGTATGGTATTCAAACCCATCAGCTTTTGCCACAACGAGCAAAGAATTGTAGTATCAAATGCTTATTCAGTAATATGTATTGGGGGCCATGTAATGGAACCTTTTTTAGGGCTGTCACAATGGCTGTTTTGGAAACATAGATGTATTGACCAGAACTATTGATGGTGCATTGATGTATCATTTAAAAGAATTCAGAAGTCTTTATTTATTGTTGAGTTTTGATTTAGATGTCATTAGATAGAGTGAAATGGGAACAAAAAAATAAGACATATTTATCTAGTTTAAAAATTAGGAGTGAATTTACTGTGCATGTTTTACAGTAGCAACACTGGAAGTGTACAGTATTGCCAAAACTAGCAATTATCATATCTTAGCCCATTGTGGTCCAATTTCAACGGAGTCTGACATCCATGCTTGCCGTCATCTTGTCTTCCTATCCTTCTCTTCCTCTTCTCCAAACAAAGAAAAAAATTATCTGGCACAAAAAGTGGAAGATGTGCTTGAACTGACATGGATTAGCTTATCTAATAGTGCCTGAAACCTTCCAGAATTTAATCAAGTAATAAGGGAGGTGCTAGGCCTTTTGTATGTGTAGCACACAGATGCAGTGGAATAATATTCACTGAAAAAGTTACTGAGACTATATCTCATTGAGGCATTGCAAGTTTATGGTTGCAGAATGGGAGTGAATCTGTTCAAATTGTATAAGTTCTGGAAGCTACTAAGAAACAAGCACATTGCAAATAACTTTTTAAATTATGATATAGTGAATAGGTGAAATGTGTGATGAGGAGATGTGGTGCCTGCCCTGTCCATGGATAGCTTCAGGAAGAGGTTACATGCCTTCACAGACAAACCAATAAAGGAGAAGCAATGCAGCTGTAAGTAACTATAGAATGGATTAATGCACTTTCATCAAAAACATTTTTCCATTGAAGAGTACATGTTTATTAAGTGTGTAGGGGCAGGATGGGCAAGGCTGAGTGTTCCTTAGACTTGCTCTTTTGTGTTTTTACAAGAATGGTGTTTGGGAAAAAAAAAAAAGTTCTAAGTTCACTTGGAATTCTGGCATTGTCACTATGACAGCTTTGTCTTATTCTGCATTTTGGTTTATTTTTTCCAGTATGTGCACAACAACAAGAGTCAAGACAATGACTGGTTCAAGTTGGAGTCAAACCAGGAGGGCACACGATGGTTTGGCAAGTGCTGGTATATACACGACCTACTCAAATATGAATTTGATGTTGAGTTTGATGTGAGTGTTATCCTCCTTCGTGTTGCATCTCATTACTTTGAATGCCTATGGCTACCTTTTCACCACCTGAAAGCAAAAATTTTTATTTCATCCCTTGTTTCAATTTTTGGCAGATTGTAGACTCTATTGATCTCTTGACTTTGATCTGTGTCTTATTGATTTTCCAATTGAAGGTCCAATAATTATCAAAGAAAAAAGTTTTATGGGAATACACTTACTCTGAACAGAAAATAGGTCCCAGTTATCACACTCTGATAGACTATACAGTAATACCCCATGTAGCACTACCCCATATAGCCCTGTTTTGTTATAGCTCTCTTTACCCTGGAGAGGAAAATTTTTACTGAAAACCAAAAAAAAAAAATTTTTAAGTACAAGTAAAACGTTATAAGTCAGAATATTCACAGCTCGATTCACATCCCCATATATAGAATGGTATAATGACCCATTATAGCACTGCTTCAGTTAGCGTTCTCTTTTCCAGGAACGCAACCTGAACTGCAAGTGGGGTATTACTGTACTCACAAAAAATAACTAGACAAGCCAAAGGGCTAGCTGTTCATTGGATATTTTTTATGCAAGAAGTATGGGTGAGCTCTTATTGATGTTTTTTAAATGGAACTAGAAACTCTGTAAGGAAGCAGCAATAATGGAAAGACCCCAAAGTCATCCTTACCCAGCTTTCATGTTGTGTATGAGACCTCAGGCATATATTTTTTTATCAATTGCCAGGAGATGGCTCTTGCTGACACATTTTCAAATTTGCATAATGTCTCTGCTCTAATTATTGACTATGGCAATGATGATATAAGGAACTTTGTTTAATTTCCAGAAGGTCAATGAATGCAATAAACACCAAACTGAATTTTCAGTGGATCAGAAGTAGGCTGGGGGTTTTTCAGACCCCACCTCACAAAAGATGTACCAAATTTCTATCTCATGAATGCAAGGTTAATTCCATTTTGAATATTTTGTATTCAAACTGGAATTCTTGCAAATTGAAAATGTGAAGGGGAAACTTGATTGGGAAAAGTGACTATCAACACTTCCATAATATCTGTATCAGTTAATCTGTCTCTATTTTCTCAGATACCAGTGACATACCCTATGACTTCACCAGAGATTGCAATTCCAGAACTAGATGGCAAGACAGCAAAAATGTACAGAGGAGGGAAGATCTGCTTGTCTGATCACTTCAAGCCACTGTGGGCTCGGAATGTTCCCAAGTTTGGAATTGCACATGCCATGGCACTTGGGGTAAGAAATTCTGGAAATATAAAAATCAACTTGTATTTTTATGTCATATATAAAGTGTTTCAAAAAGATACTCCGCTTATTTCCTATGGGGGATAGATAACACTCATTCCGATTGGGGAAAAAATCAGACCAGACTTTATTCTGGCTCCTGCTTATTTTCTTAAAGGTAGACCATCTTGGGAATGCTGCAGAGAAGGCTTAATCTCGCAAGCAGATTAATGTAGGCTGTGAGTCATTGCTAAATTGTGGTATTTGCCTCTTGGTGTTAGATTCATTGCAACGAACAAATGTTCGATGCTGTTAGAATAATACAAAGCTTACTTGAGATTCTGATGCGAGGGTATAAACATTCAAATCTTTCCTCACATTACTCTTCTCTTCAGATGCTGGACTGAACATGCATTGAACATTACAAAGCCATTACAAATTCTGAACTATTAGAGCACTGAACCTGTCTCTTTCCCAATCCCTTCAGAATACCTGCTCAGCCTACAGTTCTGGGAGCACAGAATTCTAGAACACATAACTTTATAGTTACTTTACTATCTGGTTGCTGCAGAAGAGTTCTAAGAAAAAAAGTTTTGATTTTGATTTTAAATTCAAAATATATTTTATTCAGTTAAAAATTTAAAACGTTCAATTTGAGTTTGGTTTAGCTTTCCAAAGACTGATCCTGCCCAGTATCTTAATTATCCTAATTCATCATTTTATCAGAAATGCCTGGATATTAATTGGTCATATTCTGATTTTGCCATTTTAAAGGAATATTCATTTGTATTAAATTAGAACCTCAGAAAAAGTCAGATTGATATATTTTTGGATTTTTATTTTCATTAGAATACCCCTAAGAATAAAATTGTCATTTCCCCATAGAAAAAGGATGGAGCATCTTTTTGGAAACACTCTATACATATTAAATTGAAACTATTGAAATATCTGCAAGTATTGTGTGAGATTTAAATTGTTTCCTGATGAGTTCTTTGTGTTATGAATTGTTTGTTGGAAGAGGCATGGTTCATTCTTTTTGTGAATTGTTTTATAGCCTCCTCCTGGTTGGATCCCTTCTCAGAATGGCTATTATAAGGCATCATCTATTCTCCATGTCTCTATTTTTTTAAATGCCTACCACATATTTTCATTCAGACCCCACCTAAAAATTTCTGCCATTGTTTTTTAAGGCCCAAATTTTTTATTTGATTGCAATCATGAAGAAAAAAAAAAGAACTGGTAATGAGAACTGTATGGTTTTTTGGCCTTAAAAACAACAGCAAAATTTGTGAGGTGGGGTCTGAATAAAAATGTGTGGTATGCATTAAAAAATATATATGAGCTTTGAAATTGCTCTAATTTTTACTCAAGTAAATGCCAGACATTCTGCGAATTTTTCAAGTTTGTTGAGCTGCATAGAAAGTGGCACCATGCAAGTGAAAGCAGAGGTTTTTGCAAAATTTGTGATTTTTGCATATTTCAAGCCATCACATCTCCTTGAGTGGAATTTGTTGGGACAAAAATGGAACACACATCATTAGATCTTCTTCTGGTGATTCCAAAACATTATGATGATAGGGTTTAATGAAAATGTTGACGTTTTGCTAATTTCTGAATATGCCAAAATTGGCAAATTTGACATAACTTTATTTTATTCAGTGTCATTTCGAGGAAAAAGTAGATGAAATAACTTCAAAAGTCTAACATTTTTAAAGAACAATGGTGTTGGCTGCATTTGTTTAGGTCAAAAAGTTATTGGCCCACCTGAGCATGAAGAGGTGCCCCTTTTAGAAATTTTACAAAATTTAACAAACTATTGTGCCAAAACGGCTCCATGCCTGAAGCCAAAATTTTGCATTCTTACTTTGGACCATGAGGGGTAGCACATAAAAATTTTTTGTCAATATTGGGGTCATGCTCCAGCCCTGGCTTATTTGAAATGGAATGACCCATCTGTGGATACTACATTCTTGAGTGAATTCTTAAGCAAAGTAAAATTAATTATAGATTTTTAAGTCAGTGGGAATTGATTGCTGACATCACATTCCTCCAACTCCAAGATCTTGAGTGAAAAGATTTAGCATAGGATCACTTGGATTCCTTTCCTGAAAAACTAATCAAGTATTCTTCAGAATAATCAAAAGTTCATTGGCAAATTCAAATCACTCCTTGAATAGCAATCTTATCAAAAATAGGATTCAAATCGAACTCAAATTGAATAATGATGTTATGCACTGTGTTATGTGTTCAGTGATTTTGAAAGGCCCTGGGGCTTTCAAATTTCCTAACTGGGAAGAGTGGTGCAATATTTCCAAAGTTTCCCAGTGCTCACAATGTTCTGATAGGAACTTAGACAATGGTGCAATGCAAGGAGATTGAAAGAAAATTGCCAAGTGGTACTAACATTTTTAACTCGGGTCAAACAATTTGCTTGTCATGCTTATCAATATGCAATGGATATTAAACTAGTGGGAAATGCAAATAAAAACCTCTCTGACAATTCTGAAATATTGCACTCTAAGTCACCCCTCATATAATTCATTTTGTTCTTTGAAGAAAGTTTGTTTGCAGGTTTGGTTTCAAACTTCTCAGAGTAGCATAATTTTAGTCTATCTGTTTTGGATGTATCATTACCTTGATATTGGCATGTTGGGTATAGACCAAATTCAACAATGCATAATTTTCCTAAGTTTGAGAGTGTATAAGTCAGACCATTGCCAATCACATCTAGTTACATTGTCAACTGAGTGGGGAAGATGATTTGGGAATCTCTTGGCATGTTCATGGAATGAATGTCTTCGCAAACTTTGGTATATCTGCCAGGGAGCAAATTACACTATTTAAATATCTAAAACAAACAAACCAAATGCCACCTTGCTGGGCCTGGTGCAAGGACTTCAGAAAGTGCCATTGGATGCACAGATGACGATGGCACAATACATTTTATTGCAGAATACCAAGGATTCATAAATGGTAATTTTAAAAAATATAATTTTTAATATTTCAGTTTATTTATGCCCAATGTCCTACATTTCTCTTCTGGGTTCATGTCCACACATGCTCCTTATTTACAGCTGGGTCCTTGGCTTGCAGTGGAGATTCCTGACATGATCAGCCGTGGAGTTGTGACATACAAGGAGAAGAAGGGCCCTGGAGACAAAGATAATACATGACATTCCCTTCCCAGCCAGAAAATTTTATGCTATTTTTTTTTCTTTATTTTATGGTGGGTTATGATTGAATCATGTTTGATCCGCTCAGCACTTGCTTTTTATGAGAGCACTCATACATACATACATTTTTGATACCGCTCATCCCAACTTAACGGGATCGCGGTTCGAGCATGCCCAGGAGCGTCCTCCAATGATCTCGATCCTGGGAAACAGACTCAAGCTCAGCTGGTGGAATGCCGAGCCTCGTGACGAAGCCGAGCGATGTAATCGCTCCACCTTGTGCGAGGTCTACCGACAGGTCTTTTGCCGGTCATCATGGCCTGGAAGATTTCTATTGGAAGTCTCTCAGAAGGCATGCAGAGGATGTGTCCAAACCACCCTCTGACCCCGAGACGTTTCGATCCCGAGAAGCAACTGCTCGAAATGGAGGCTCTCGCGGATGACGGAGTTCCGCATCTGATCACGGCGCGCAATGCCAGATACCTGACGCAAGAACCTCATTTCGGTAGCTTGCATCCACAATCTGGTTCTTTCGGTCATTACCCAAAGTTCGTGACCATAGGCGAGGGCGGGGAGATGAACGGTTAAAAACCGAGAGTTTCGCTTCCCCTGGAGATGCGGCTGTTGATTTCGTTTCTTGTCGTCCGTCACTTGAGAACTAGACATTGAGACTTAAATTTCTCCACCTGTTCTAGTGGGACCCACTGACATTGCAGGTACAGGATTTCTCGAGAGGACCATGACCAAGACGCTTGGCTTCATTCCGGCCCGTGTGCTCTTGGAGTCGAACCGATCGAGCACATTCTGAAATTCCTGTCGAGAACGGGTAAAAAAAACGGCATTGGCAGAGAAATAACCTTACCGTGACACCACCGATGTCGACCCCCTCCAGGCCGAGGCTGTACCTACAGATCTTGCCCATGTACGTGAGGAATAGGAAAGGAGATAGGGCGCAACCCTGCCGGAGTCCAGCGCGTAAGACTCGAATAAATATCTGAGTAGAAGGGGAGCGTTAATTCATCGGACGAAGAAACGAATGAATAAATAATTGTCACGAGGGGTATGGAAGAGCAAATGACGCCAGGCAGCGGCAGATGCAAAATGGGCTTCTGTTGCAGCCACCGCCATCTGGCAGTTGCTTGCGTCCCCAACCAACAGAAGGGATTCTTATTGTGCATTTTCAAAAAAGTTTGCATAATGAAGTTATTATGCTCACAATACAGGGTGTCCGAAAAGTCTCTACCTAATGGGCAATACATTGAAACTCTTTACACGATGAAGTGTACATTTTTTGTGGAACCAAATCATAATTATTCTAAATGTTTTTCAATCAGCTCAAATCGCGTTTGCAGTCGGTATTTCGTACTCTTGTGAACAACTCCTGTAACCCTTTCGAACAAGCTCTCATTGTCAATGGATGCACAAATGCGTGTGATCCCTTTATGGTGATGGTGGAGAGTCCTAATTTTGGCTCGGTACACCCCTGCCTTTGAGAAACCCCCATATAATTAAGTCCATTGGACCGAAATCCGGTGAATGTGGAGCCTATTTTTTGGGGTCACGCCTGCCAGTTCATCGTCCTGGAAAGTTCTCAGCAAGCCAATCACGAACTGGTAATGCATAATGAGGGAGTGCACCATCTTGCTAAAACCACGCTGGTAGAACCTCTCCGAATCCACCAAGTTGAGGCATTAATTAATCTAACATGTTCGGGCATCTCTCACCATTTAAAATTCCCTCAAAGAAAAACTGTCCTAACACATGTGTACCCCATTGTCTGCACCAAACCATAAGTTTTTGAGATCCTTGCTGTTCGGTAGGTGATATCCGACGTGGGTTTTCCTGCTATCAGTAACGCATATGCAAGCTTCTTGCATACTCGTACATCTGTGCTTCGAACTGAATGGGGGATATTCTGAACAATTTTGATTTCATTCCACAAATAAACGCATTTCCTATTGGGTAGAGACATTTCGGACACTGTATTTGTGTCAGGTTACACAGCTATCGATATTTTTACACGTTACGTTAGACAATATTTTCCAAATGCTTATCGCACGTGTAGCATTGATGTACATGCTTCACAGCTTCCTCTCTCACCGTGGCAAGGGTACTCTGGAGGATAGACTTCAATGCCATTCATCAAATTTTCTTAGAGTATAGTCATTGTCCTTGGTTTTAATAGCAAAAGTGCGCTCTTGAAGCCTTCCCAAAGGAAATAATATGCTGCTCATAAGTTTGAGAACCTCGATTGATGTCAAGAAAACATGAAATGACGAGTCCAGGAAGAAATGCACGCAACGGAGTGATTGCGTCCTGGACTGGACTACATTGTGCGTCATCCTCTTGAAACAGTATGTTCCTCGAGGGAAAGCTCTGGTGCTACAGTGGACTTCAATGCTGCCTGCAAAGGGGAGGACGTTTCAAATACATTCTTTTTCTTTGGTAGCGATCGGTACAAACCTCTCAATAGCTGCAAATAAACACGTGACACTCGGGATCGTTGCGGACATATTTGCTGCATTTTACGCTTCATGTTCAATGCAAGCGCTTAAAGAGTTAATGGCTTTGGCAAATCACATGATACACGGCCATGGCATTTTGAGGGGCAAGTGAATTCTATTTTTTTGCATCTAAATCTCTGAAAGTTTGCAACTTTACTTACAGTTGCAAATTCAAGAGCCTCGTCCATAACTATTGTCAGCGTGGAAGGCTTCTGTGACCGACACCACAGAATCTGGTACATTAATAAAGTATAATTTCGTACATTTTTCCTTTGCCTATTGTCCATCGAGGAATGGCGCGTGAAGATGCCCTTAACCCTTTCGTGCATGGTGTCCACTGTAGTGGACGGCAACATTTTTGGCGACAATTATAAGTTTTCAGCTATGGTACTCATACCTCGAAACTTTTGGTGCGTGCAGTCAACTCAAGGGCACATAATCTGTTCAGTGTCTCTTTCTAGCAGTAGAACATTCGACTACTACGCAGAGTACCTCCTAAAACGTTAAACCATAAAGGGCATATTTTTATTTTGCTTTAAAAATTCATGCACGAAATGGTTAAGGGCGTCTATATAAATTTCCTATATAAATTTCGTTCCTTGTTTTGGCACCACATTAGCCAAGTGGTGCCAAAACAAGGAACGAAAGTCGGCTTGGAATCTTTTCCCAAAGCAGCAATGCGTTTCCATTTTTCACGTTCGTCTTTATTCCTTCCTTTAACAATATGAAAAGCGGCATTTTCATTCGGTACGAGACCAGACACGGAACTCTTTCTTCACTTGTTTCTACAAACGACTGAACCGCTCCCAGCAGACGCATTTTATTGGGAAGTGGAATCGGATTTCCCCCGGCTCATAGGTGTGATCTCAGATCCCACTTGAGCTGTGTAGAATTTTAAACAAGTAAATTATCCAAGTTACCGCAGATATTCTGAAATCTTTTAATACCCTCGTGGGATTCCAGATCACACTAAATTCTTTAAAACCCTACGACATATACACTGTATTGTACTTTTTACCCCATCAATAGTGACAGATTTCCATGTTTTCATAGACATCCCGAGGAGCATGTGCTCAAAATCATGGTAAGAGTCGTTTAAAAGTTCTTGCCACTTAATACAATCGTAAGAATAGTTACTTGCGTTTACAAGGAAAAAGTTCTCTCCAAAGCAATAGGAGGAACCAATTACGATCTAGAAAAAAATGCCTGTTCCCTTCGGAGGGGATGAACTGACTTCTGATTCTGAACGATGTGTTTTTGCCTTACCTAGCAGAATTGTCAAATATGAAGAACGAGAACAGGACGCGGTAGGTAAAAATAGCAGGTAGGGCCGGATAAGGAGGGGGGGGGGGAGCTCTTGCCTCGGGTCTAACTTTTCCAGGCCCCCTTAAGGAAATTAAAAACGTTAAGTATTTGCATAAAATAGCGAAGGCTCACAGTGACTAGTCACAAAATATCTATGTGTCCCCGTCCTTCTTGATGACAACCTGGAATCATTGAGTCTGTCAGTTGATCGCACTGGACGGACATGGTTTCACTTCGCTTTCAGCACGAACTGGTTACCTGGTTAACTGGTTCAGGTCACTGGATTTCGTTTATAGGCACTTGCTTCTAGCAGATATCGCATACAGTAATCCGTTTGGTTACGGTCAAAGTTGTATGGGAGTCATTCGTATTCTTTGATCGTTTCTGCCTCATGTTCAGCCAGACAATTTTTTGAACCTCAAGCCATTTCCAGGTGGAAGAGGATTCGTGTTAAAACAGCCAAGGTTGACCACCAAAGAGACATTCGCATACAAAACATTTTTTCTTTACTGTTTTAGGCGTACATAAATAGGAAATGTTACAAGTGGTATGAATATTTCTGGCCCACCCTGTAAATCGGTTATGAGGGTTTCCTGCTGACGGATGGGTATTGTAGAACTGCGGTGTTTCCTCTTCCTGGCTGCCCGTCTTTCTGTAAGCCTCCGTTCAATAAGGTAGCCGTTGCCTAATACCTTCTTATGGATTCGGACGACTGTGAGGCCTCAGGACCGGAGAACATTCAGGGCTTGCTGTTTCACCGCCTTTTTCTTCCCTCTCCGAGTGAAACCGAGAGAATAACGCTCTCCCGGCATCTTTTGCGAACTGGTCGGGAGGAAGAGGGTGAAACAAGGAGTCTCCCGGTCAAACTGGGAAAGTTGGCAACACCACTTGCAAGTGGAAGATCACACGTTGTAACATCTGCTGAGCGTGTAGTAAGTGCGGTTGTGGATACGATGGTAGAACACTAAGAATGTCCCTCGTGACCCTTCCAAACAGCTGCATTAGTCAAGACTGGATTCCCCCCCCCCCCCCCCCGACAAAATTTCGCATATTCGGCGCGTAAGTCTGAATTTGGCAGAAAAGTGTGTAAAAATGGTGATAAGATTCCAGAAAACTAAGCAATGATGATTCAACAATAGTTTTTCCAATAATTCAATAATAATCGATTGCTCAGAATTCTGTCGAGAGAACGATGCCTCCGCCGTTTATGCTATGCACTATGAACCAGCATTTTCAAAATGGTTTCCTGATCTTATTAGGTCGTCGTGCCTTGTCTAAACATTTTAGTATCTTCGTTATTCCTGCCGTCCTTATTCAGATTTTATGCTGCCGAATTGGTTCCCGTCGTTGCACTTCAGTTTTCCCTAGTGTCGTCGTTCTTCCGTGTCTGCGTGTTTTTTTTTATTATATAATATTCTTCCTCTGGTGGCCATAAGTGGGAGTCTCTCTCATCATTTGATTTAATATGCATAGGGCGATTTTTGGCATTTTTGCAAAAGCCCTGGAATGCGCTTCTGAGAAACTTACCTGTGAAGCAAAAAAAAGTTATTCATCGGCATTTCATTAGTTACTGACGCTCCAAAACGTGTTTGTCCTCATATGTGGACATCATGCATTCAGGGAAACCACATTGAAACATCGTGCATGTCCAGGCAGAGTAAGTCCTTTCACTTTCAGGCTCTGACCATCATACTTGAATCCTCCTCTCTTATCATTCCTTTCAGAAGGAATCCTTTACTTTTCTTATTTTTCTCATGATTTAGTAGTTCAGGCTCATGTTTCGTTGGTGGATAAGCGTAGCGCGATTGGAAAAAAACTGGAGGGGAGGGGGGGGCACGTTCCCCCCCAACGCTACGCCAATGTAGAGGCGCGTGGAGGCTGTTGCGTTTTGATATGTCATTCAAGTTGGAATGCTAATTACTTGAATAAGGTATGCTGTGAATATTACACTAGGCAGCATTTTTATCGCGGCACAATCTTAGAATAAAATGAGTAAATTGCATTTACATATTTCTTTTATATTTCTAAGAATTTTGAAATGCAAGAAAATTGATATGTACCGTTAATGCATAATGTCCGCATATGTGAACCAGCAAGTTTTGGAGCTATAGCAGCCAATAAAATGCTGATGAACTTGTTGCTCCACAAGTAAGTTTGTTCTCTCAGAAGCAAATTCCAGTGCTTTTGCAACATTTCCAAAAATCGTCCCATGCATGTTAAATTAAATGATGAGAGAAACCCCCCCCACCTATGGCCACACGAGGATGACATACCGAAAGAAAATATGAACGAGACCCTGGAGAGTCACAGGGTATACAGTCTCTGATTTTATTCTGACAATTTAATGTTCAAAAATTTGGAAATGGCATCTTAGTAAAAGTTGTGTAGAATGGGGGCTGTAAAATTAAGTTTTAAAAATGTTCACAACCGTGGACACCATGCAAAAAAGTAGAAAGGTGAGAAAACTACACCCGTTTCTTCATGATGTCCACATATATGGACAAATGTTTCCAGGTCGTTGACGCCACTGACTCTAAAATAATTTTTTTTTTCCCAGCAATTGCTGTTAAAGTGAGCGCATGTCGAAACTTGAAGTCAAGTCATTTTCTCCTGCAATTTGCTCTTATGCAACAGAGAGTTAAGGCGAGGGGCTCGGATGGACGCTTGGCAAAGACTTGAGTCGTCAAATACTTCTCTGGAGCCCCGCCTCAAACCTTCAACCTTTTTTTGTTTCCTTCCTATTACCCCTCCCTCCTACTATGTGTGGGTGGGGGAAGGGGGATCAGTAAGAGGTTCCAATTCTCATCACATTGTACATGAATAGCGCATGCTGCATTTATTTACCCACAAAATCACTGCCATAACATTTTTCAAATGGCAAAACCACACACGAACAAACAAGAGCTTTTGAGTTCAAAATCTCACCAGGAGCCAGGAGTTGGGAAATAAGTATAAACATCACAGGGTGTTTCCAAGGCATTTTGACTTGCAGACAGGGCCGCCCAAGGTTTCCAGGAGCCCGGGGCCAAACAAAACTGGAGACCCTTTGGAGGCCCCCCTTGGTTCGTGGGGCCAGGGGTAGATTGCTCCAATTGCCCCCCTCCCTTCTGGGCGGCCCTGCTTGCAGATGAAACCTGACAAGATTGGTTTTTTTTTTTTGGCGACTAGATGCATATGCAGGAAATGAAAAAAACTAAATGCACAGAGACCTGTATCAAAATGATGTTAAACACCTTACAAGCTTTCCAAAGTGCACATAAGGGTACATGATTTCAGCATGAGGATGCAAACTAACACTGCAAATTGCAAAAGGCTTAGACAAGAAGAAAACTGGAATGGAAGGAGGCTGTCACAACCAATAATCCCTTCACTAACTTCAAGCAATTGTCTGCCTTAACATCACAGCATCTTACTCCCGTTCTTTGTAATGTTTGCTCCCCAAGAAAAATTTTATCAATGATGCCAGCAAGAAAATAAGAAACAGAAGATCAGTAGAAAAAAATACTTAAATAAAGGAGAGGGAAAAAATGGCATGTAACATTTGTAGGGATAAATGAGATCAGTTGGTGTCTCATTCACAAATATTAAGAAGTACTGGAGAGAATTTTTTCATTTCTATGGTCTTTGGATTTTATATCTCCACTAAGACCTACAGATACACTTGCCTAATTTTCAAAAATACAAATCCCTGCCAAAATAACTTCACCACCTGGTATTGTAGAACAGCTCAAAATACCTGATTCCCTGTCTAATTGGGTCTGAGCCCAGCACAATGCATGAGAAGGTTGAACCAGGTACTAAACTTTTATTTTAATATGGTTAGATATGTACAGAAATTTTTGCCATAATGAACATATCCTATGTTGTATTGACCTTAGTGTAACTTTGCAAAGCTTGGCTTTTGCTTTCTTTACCAAATAAATAAACAAAAAACATATGCAGTGGAGGACTGATGTGAATGCCCTCGAGACTTATACCTAATAGCTGTTTTTTTTTCTTTTCCGGAGGTTGATGAAACAAGAGCAATGGCATTCCCTTCTACTCAAGAGAGAGCTAATTTGTATATTGCACACTCTTGTGCTCAGGTTCCTTCGCCACATAATGTGATGGTAAAAAAGGTAAGGGTCTTGTCAAGCCATGGTAGAGATGAAAAATCTTTGTACACCACAGCCATCAAGAAATCATGAAAAGATTATGAAAATATTCTTAATTTAAACCACTTCACATTTAGATAGTCACAATGGTTTTACAAAATCATATTCAACTTCACAACATAAAAAGTGAGTGTAGAAGCATTCAATGTGTAGAATAAACAAATTGTTCCTTCTCAAGTGCTAGATTTATTGACATTTGCCCAGAGATAAAACCTCTGGTTGTGGAGTAGTACATCAGAACTAGGTGTATATATATTTTCCTCATGCACTCATGGGATGAGTGCAATATGCACACCAATTATGGCAGTCTAGTTGTCAACTCTCAGGTTTTCCAGGACCAGGACGATATAAAGGTGCCACCCTCTCATCTTGCAACTATGATAATATCAGAGAGTGCTCTGCCTATAAAACTTTTAGAGAAGAAGCACAGGAGCATGATGGACCAGGATTATGGAATGGATGCAGGAGGAGCAACTACATAACCCACAAAACAAGCAAATATAGGATACTGACCACTTATCCTTTGACTATGTTCTACATCCTCAGTCATAAATAGAATAACTTCACCTGGATAATGCAATCACTGGGATATTTCATCTAAAGAAACTGGGGAACATTAAGTGTTGAGGATGTACTAACCATTTTACTCAATCAATAATTTTTTAGGTGACATAATCACTTTGGTGGTCTCTCCACATAAATGACAAAGACTAAAAGCTCTGAAGCTACTTCAGACACATTCCATTTCACTGTTTTACATGAAAGTAGCCAAAACTACAATTTCCTTACCCTGACTTCCCATCCAGTGATTTTGTGCATCCTTGACCATCATATCGTAGAACAAGAGGGTGACTTGGAACAGATTTTGACTTGCTTGTTAAATTAATTCAAGGTTTAGGTAGGGATGTCAAAGGAATTTTTGCCCATAATGAATCCCATTTCAAGGTCAAGCATTCATATCGAATAAGAGGCCAGTCCCTTTTCAGGATAGATGTATTTGTGTGAGCATATCTTTCCACTAAAATGTCTGCTATTGCCTAGTCAGTCACATTTATCCCTTCTTGTTTGTCCATAAAGGCATCTAACATTTTCTTAATGCTAGTCACAGAAAGGGCAACCACTTCATCACCAAATATTATAATCATACTACCCCACAAGTAAGGAAGTTCTTCTGCAACCCTACCATGACTAGCTTTGAGAAGAGGCTAGATGCCTTCAAGGAAAAACCTAAAAAAAAATGGAGGGACAATATTGCCATAAGTAGCAAGGGTGTAGAGGGATATTCCCCCATAAGAACTTCTTTAGAGGATATATTTTATATGAACACCCAACCTTGACATGGGATGTCAATAGGGGCAGAAATGCCTCTAGAAATCTCTATCCAAACCTTGAAACAATGAGTTCATAGAATATGGAGTAAGTACCTGAGAGCCTCACATAGCATTATTACCATGTTAGGTGAGGGCAAGGATGTGATTGACAGTAACAAGAACAATGCAGGCAATGGCCCAGAGGATGACCAAAACCACCCAAGCAGTTCCCCTGAAGGGAGAAGCATGTTGGTTCTTCACACCTGTTCCAACAACATTCCCTGCCTCTTTCCTTGCATAATAGACCAGAGTGGCAGGGATGATGTACTGGATTCCTGATCCAGCATATGATCCTGTGATGCCAACAAGGAGCTCAAGGTCATGTGTCGCAAGTCCCACCAGGCTTGGAGGGAGAATTGCAAGAACTGGAAAAAGCAGACGCTCAAGGAAGATTCCATAACGTCTGCCTTCCTTTAGGAAGAGGCTCTTAAGGTTATTACGCAGTGTGATTGCAATGATGGGAAAGCTTGTGCTCAATGTGAAGACAGGGAAGAGTGCAAGGAAGTACTGGAGGAATACAATCTGTGTTGGAGCAACAGATGGATCGCATCGATTCGGCTGGAAATTTAGAGTGTAAAGGTCGAAAATATTGTCAAAGGCAAAGACCCCAGTCAGAGCAAGCAGCAAGTAGAAGGATGCTATGAGAAAGTAGTCCAGGGCAAAAAGGCGAAATAGACGGCTCTTGTTAGATATTGGTGTTACAAGAGCAGGGAGGGAATGATGGCACATGAAGGAATATATGCTGGCTCCAAAGAGATTTGGCAATCCACTTGGGATGGCTGCTGGCCGTGGATGACTGGAACTGCTGCCTGTCACCAGAATCTTTACTGCCAGAATCACCATGACTCCAAATGCTAGAAGAAAAGGTCACAAGCAATCATTTGGGATAGCATACCATTTTATCTGAGTCCAGATCCAGTCTTACTTGTCTTTCACAACTACAAGTCCCTGGCCACAGAATCATTTTGTTGAAATAATGATGGTTGAAACCAGAGTAGGGATGTGGACTAGCAGAATAGAGACTAGGGAGATTGAGACCTCCTGAGACATTGCTGAATTAATCCAGATTCATAAAAGAAAGTAAGATCTGGGCATTGCTATGGCAGCATTGCAATAATTTGCATTAATTCAAAAAGTGTTCTTAGAAACATCACTTATAGCAATTCCACGAATTCATCAAAAATTAGTCAAGAACAGAATGGAGCCCAATATCTGCTGGTTTACTTTCTTAATACAATGGTTATGTCCACCCTTGTTCTATGCTGCTTCTTCCAGGTATCATCATTTCAATTACAAAATGTATTTTCAAGTTGCTAGGTGATGCTGAATATTCTTTATTCCTGGTAGCCTCTGAATTATTTTTTTTTGTTGCCAGATTGAAAACTTAAATTCAGAAATCTCATAAAAATTGCACCTTAATTATCAAACTATATAGTGAAGGGGGAAATGTACGAAAATGCAGTTGTCACTGACGTTACAACACATAATATGGGTGTAATGGGGGTATAATGGAGTCATCTGAGCATGGCTAATGGCCTCTCAAAGGATAAGCCACAGAACAAAATTATGCCTTATGGGTCTTCCCATTATGACTCATGTTATACTTTCATGTTATGCTTATGCTTTCAAATGTCAGAAATTAATTCCACCCTGCTTCCAAATTTTCAATTTCAGGTCTTCCCCAAAGGCATCAAGATTGTAGGAATTGAGTTTTCGTTGGATGCAAATAAAGGGTGGGCCAAAAATAAAAAGCCATCACTTTTGGTGAGTCGTCAATTTGATTGTAGGCTGCTGATTCTGATCAATTTTTGGTAGGTCTATAGGGTTAATCAATTGGAGTTTTTATGTCGAATTTCAGCATTCTGGCTCTAAAATGATAGGAGCTGTAATTATTTTCCTGACCTTCTTCATGACCCATGACAAAATGTACTGTCAAAAATACCTATGTGAACTTGAAGTCGGGATGAATGGGAGGATGGAATAAATGACCTTCCATCCCTGCATGATGCTATAGAAGAAGATTGGGAAGCACTGCCTCAAAGATTTATTGACCAAGTCATTGATTGGTGAAATCCCAGACTAGAGGCTTGTGTTCAACATAATGGAGGGCACATTGAGCACCTTTTCAGATGAAATGAACCATATTCTAACCATATTGCGTACTATCATTTTTGAAATTCATGCATCTACTTTTTGTTCTGTTTGTTTGCTTGTTTGTTTTGTCAGTTGTAAGATATTGTAAAGGAACATTGTTTAAGGAAAAAATGAACACTTTCTTTTTTGGTGATGAAAAGTAAATTAAATGCCATTTTCACAATTTTTGGAATTTTGATTTGAAACTCAGCAAACAGACCCTAATTGAGTCATGCTAAGTGTCTACCAAATTTCATCAGAATCAGCAGCCTACAATCAGATTGACAACTCACCAAAAATGATGGCTTTGTTTTTTTTTTGGCCCACCCTGTATGTGTTAAGCCACTTTTACCATTTTTCCTTGTTTGTATGTTCATCCCAGTCCACTGAAAAAATAAGGAGTAAAAAAAAAAACAGCATTAACATGTAATTCAGTGGATGTAGCCTGTCTTTACTCCAGTAATAATATGCTAAAACAATTATCATTGGGATGTGAAGGATAAAAATATGAACAAAACATGGTGGAAAGAGTGAAAGGAAGTGGACAAATCAGCTTCACATATTTGGGTATGGATTAATGATAGGGTTAGGTACTGGCAACATCACACAATATCACAGTTCATGGATATGTTAAGCTGGTATTTCCCTCAAGAAGCTAGATTGAGTCAAATGAATGCCACAATTCCTCTCTATGACAGGACTTTGTGTAATGAATTTTGCATTTAAAATTACAAATTAAAACTCATGCATTCTGATGTTAGAGAATGGGCATTGTGAACTCACAGAGCCACCGGAGGAGTGTGGTGAAAAGCTGGAGGTGTTTAGTCTTCTGGACATTGAAGAATGCAAAGGGACCCATGAGGAGGATGAAAATGGCCTGCACCAGAGAATTCATACAAGAAAGAATGAGATACAAGTTTAGGGAAAAGACTACTGCATAGTAGTCATAGCAGTAAGCCTTCCTTTGTTGGAAAACTTGGATCAGGGGGTATGGAAGGGATTGCAATACTTCTCAATAGGCAATATAGCCTGACAACATAGCCAACTTATCTGGTTATTCCAGCTGAATGTCCAGTATGGCTGGGATCATCTTCACAACCCAATAGCAAGCCAATATACAAAAGATTTGAAAACAAATGATATATATATATATATATGCATTCAATTGAAAAATCGTAATTTCAAAATTATGTACAGGGTGTCCATAAAGTGATGACCTATGGGCATCTTTTTTTTACTTTTGTAGGCTGTTTATCATTAGCCTGTGGAATGATGTCACATCTTTTGTTCTTACACTCTAACGTGACCAATAATTCATTTTCCAAACCCTTGTTTTAATTACAAGTTCAGACAAGGAGTGTAGCATTCCAAATTGTCAGCCGGGGCAAACAGCCTTCAGTATCTCCAGATTTTGACCCCTTGTGATTTTTTTTCTCTGGGGCCACTTAAAAGGCATTGTTTACCAGGACTAGCCAACAGATCTGAACAACTTGAAAGAGAATATCTATCATGCCATGTGCCAGAAAAGTGATGGAATTCTCATGAATTTTCAGAAATGTTAGGAAATTGGCAGTCAACACCTTGAGCCAATATGTCAAGTAAATTCCTAACTTTTATGAATTTGAATTCCCAAAATGGTCTATCATTCAAACAATACCATGGTGACTTCAAGAAGTTCCTGCAATAAGGTCAAACTACAACATTTTCCTTGAATCATTGTCTTAATTTCTTCACTATTCATATGAAAAAAATAATAATAAAACACCACATTTGGGAAATTAATTCTTGGTCATGCCAAAGTGGAAATAGAAAAGAACTGACACTATTCCAAGGCTGGTACATTGTCAGTCTACAAAATTAAAAAAAATGGCTACTTCAGGGTCCATAATAAAAAAAGTGGCCCTTAGGTAGTGACTTTATGGATGCCCTGTATTTTTATAATTTTTTTAATCAATTTTTTTATGCATCTACCTCATTGAAGAGAATGGGTATGGTAATTGAGGTATGGTATTGCTTGATATGTTTGCTGCACACCTTATGAACTTTCAATATAATTTGATGATCTTCTGCATAAAAAGTAATTAAAAACTGAAATTGTTTGCACAAAAAAAAGATGAACAAAGGCCAGTGATTTTTGCATAATTGCAGAAGAAGAAAACATTGGATATCCAAAATTAACTGCTGTATATTCATGGACAGAATGTCAATATACCTCACAAAACTTGTGTGGGCTAGGATTTTCCAATAAAGCTGCTATGGGTGCAGTCATTTTCCAGTAAGATGAACATACCCCAAAAAAATCAAAAATATGTAGTTGCTTTTCAAAAGCTCCAAACAATTTGGGAGGAGTACAAAGGAAAGTGGTGAGCAGTCCTTGTAGTGAAAACAGTATGAGAAGCAGTTTCAGAGCCCTGATGCTTAGGTTGAAATTCTCAATAATTTGAAACAATTTTAAGTGTAGAGTTTGGCAGCTCTCATAGAAAAGGTGTAGTCCAAATTCTCTCCTGTCTCTTCAGATCAGTTTCAGCATACATGCACTTTTATCTCCAACCTCTCCCACCCCTTAGGATTAGAGGACCATATAGAAAGTTAAAAGAATTGACAGGGAATTAACACTCACAACATAGAGTCGATATGCATCCATTCTTGATGCTTTCACCTGTGATGCCCAGCACAATTCAGAATCAGGGATTGTAACCGTCACATTGCATGAAGAATTGGCAGGAACATAAGTGCTGAAAGAATAAAAGTTATTTGCCCCATGTAGACCTTTTTAGAACAGGATGGCAGTGAAATAAGGGAAATTATAACTGACCAGGTGACATCTCTGAGGGATTTGGCCACAGCTGAGACATAGATGGCAAGATCACCATATAAGTATATTGCCAGGGTCAAGTAGAACAGTGTCTTTCCCACTTTTGAAAGGGTAAAAAAGTAAATCAATTAAGCATAAAATACTAGCAGAAGCAAATATAATAGGCATTTACAACATATCAAAGCAACTTGAATCTGACCCAATGAGCTAGAAAAGGAGAGCCTCCTTCACAATGTGGTGAGCAAGGGGTGAGCACTCCCCCTCAAAGAATCCACATCTAGACAGGGGAGAAGGGGAAGGAGAGACCTGAAGAAACCAAACAGTGAAGGCAAAGTCCCATTTCATTCCTCAACATGGAAAGAAAAACTCTACTCAGCAATGGTTTCTGTACTTAATGAGCTATCCATGTAAATGTATGAGCATGCTCTTTGGCAAAACTGGCTAAATAAACCCTTGCTATTGTCTCAAGCGCTATTTGCCCAAAAATGTTTCTGCAATATAACACCTTGAACAGCAGCACAATGGCCATCAGCAATTCAAGCTGATAGTGATCTCATGTTGTCTCTTGATCTCTGCTTTGAAGAGAGAGAAAGGTAATTCTATGGGGTTCAAATATGAGCTGTATGGCAGGAGGAATTCAGGGTGGATATTAGCAGATCAATCATCAGCAAGTTGCAACATTTTCTGTGAAGAAGATTGCTTTGTTTTTCTATTCAAATCATAGCATACAAATCATTTAGAAAGTTCCCAGGAATTTTTCTCATGAAAAAGCAAGCAACATCCTTCATGGAGCATCTTTGAATGCATGAGTCCATGTGAAGGAGAAATCACAGCAACTAGAGTCATTTTCCCTCCTTGTTGAGTATCAACTTGGCCCATTTTCATAAATGGGAAAATATGAAAAAGTAATAGCAAACAATTTTGGTGCCAAAATAGAAGCATAAGTAATTAAATTATTTAAAAGAACTAGATCTTGCCCATGGTACTGAAATTGAAGCCAATATCTCTTTCCTATATATGGATGGAGATGCAACTATCGATAGACCCTTTCCGCTTGCAAACAAAAATTCCCTTTTGTTCAGACATTCATGAGGAGGTTTCACTTGGTGTCCCTTTCCATATGATGAGTCATCTTGGAAGCAGTATTAATCTCTTTTTAAGAGCATGCCACTTTATGCAGGCTAGACTGAAAACTTGCTCTAACATTACAGACAGGTCAAAAATGAGACGTTATCCTGAATGAAGTTGTCCTTTCTAAATCAAGGTTGGGAAAAGGATTTTGTCTTAGCTGTCTGGTTTTTATTGCCATCCCTTCCTTCCGGTCTGGATTTGAATTCCTTGCGGGGGAATGTTCACTCTCTGCTCATCATATCCATAGGGAAGACATCTCCTCTTTCCAACATTTGGGGTAAGAATCAAATTGGTTAAGTAAAATAGACCTCAGGCAGAAATCTTCTAGATGCTTCATCTTTTCATGCCCATGAAGTTGGTGATACTAGGTATCACTGTAAGTCAAAATTTTATCTCCTTTATTTTCAAAGGAAATTTGAGGATGGCATAGGGTTCTCTTATCTTGCAAAAAACAAGCCAATTTAAAATAAGATAGTCACAGAAAGGCTAGAGAGGCCCATAAGAAATGATTTGCTCAACTGTACTCATCTGAACTGAACACTATATTTGCTTCATATAAATATGAAACAAGGAAATTCATACTGTCTGAAATGATATTCTGAGATTATACATATAAGAAAAAGGTACTCTTTCCTTCTGTAACTTTGGACAGGTAGTATATTCTTGCCCTCAATGACAAGAGTTGGAAATTCTAGGTTTGAGGTTAGCAATTCAGTGGCACTTTCTGCAGTTCACATATTGCCCTGCCCTTTCCTATAAGTCTCAACAATTTCAGACCATGAAATTGGTTTCCATTTAACCATTTATAAGCCAAAAGACTAAGAGTTCATTAAAAATATATTTATATTTTATATGCAGACTCCTTACATGCTATACTCCACATACAAATTATTTGTAAAAATGCCCCAACACCACATCTATGCAATAACAATTCAAGGGCATGTGTGTGACTTTTGCTCTGGTGGAAAATTACTTTCTCAGTGAACTATAAAAGGTTAAGACACCACATAGACATGAAAGTGATGTTCCCTCTGCAATAAAGAATTACAATTTAAAATTTAACTTCAATTAACTGATTATACACAAGGTGATTTTGAAGAAACTTCACCACTTTAGTGCATAATATCTCAGAAATGGTATGCAGAGCAATGTTGCGAGATCAGAAGATGGTTATATGAAATTTGTTTGTGTGTGTGTTGCGTACCACTAGAACCTGTCAGAAGACTCATAGATACAGAGCCAAACAGTGCTAGAACATTGCTGACCCTCTGAATAAATTAGTTGTTATGCATTCTGTACACTGAAGAAACATATATTGAACAGTTGCTGTGATTAATGAGATATTAAGTCACAGTGGCAGCCCTGATTACAACATTTGGTGACTATGACACCTTTGAGTATATGGTCCCCAAAATATCCCTGTGCTTCTGTGTCATACCATTTCTGAGATATTATGCACTAAAGTGAAGTTTCTTTATAATCATATAATAATATATAACTAAGTCTTTCATGCATGGAAATAATAAAATTAACATAGATTTGATGGTGTAGGTAATGCAATGGTAACAAGAATGCTCTCACTGCATGATAACCTTAAAGAATGAAGATAATCAGAGCATGAGCAGATCATTCAGAGAGATACAGGATGGGCACAAAGCCCCAGGTGGCTGCAATGATGGCCAACACAAATCCGTATGACATTAAAGATCAGTTGGTACAGTAGTTGTATTATGGGTCCATGAGCCAAAACAGATGAGAAAGGTAATTAACCAAAGTGAGCATAACTTCATTGCTCCTTCCAGAAAAATAGCTTCCCCTGAATCAAAATGTGAAGTCATTCTGCATCTGGTTGATCATACTAATCAGTTTTGGCTCATACACCCAAATAATAGCAAACAACTACTCTTCAATGGTGTGTGAACTTGCAACAGCCACCACTGCATCTGCTCATCCTATTTCAGTTTACCTTTCGAAAATAAAATATTTGTCAGATGAATTCATATTGGAGTCAAATGGGACTTAGTGCCCACCCAGTATGCTGGGCTTGACATCATCTTCTAATACCCCCTTTCTTTTCTTACTTTTATTCATTCCTCATTGCTAATAAAAAATTGCACATTTTGCCAATGCATCATCAATAGTTCAGAAGGAAGCAGGGATGCTTTCAAATTTGATATTGTGACAGTCATAAATACCCATACCCAATGCAATCTCAGAGTAGTAAAGGAACGATTGCTTCCCATTGCCAATTTTGATACAACTGAAGGTTGACAGTCACCTGTGGCTTCAATGAGACCCCCTGGTCCTTTGACATTTGAAACAATTTGGCACTTCCTCTTCATGAAGATTTTTCAGATTCTGGCTGAAGTTGACTCAACATCAAACATATTGACAGAGCATTTATATTACAATTCAAAATGACTAATTTCCTAGGGTGGGTTCTTCTACTCCATTTTTGCCCCAATAGACCTTTTAGGTCCATTGCCAGCATAGGACTAAAAGCCTGTTAGCAGCTAAAAGTGAGTACAAGAACCCACCCCTAAACTTTAGCTTGTTAATCTGATTTTCACTTCTATATTTAACATTCCTCCGTGTACCCATATCAAAGAATGATTCAATTAAGCTAAGAAAGTCATGGAGACGGACAGACTCACCTTTTCCATAGAATAAGGAAGCCATTCTCCCCTGTGGGAATGAAAATAAATATAAGATGCAGTCAAATGAAAGTGATTCAGCAGGCACCATAGGACCAGGAAGTACTATTGTTCCTAGTAATATCTGTGGCTGTTGGAGGTACTGATCTCAACAATGTACTAACAAACATATACCCATCTCATAGAATGTCTTAACACGTTCACTGCCGATGACGCTTGTTTCTATGGAAAGGATAAAGACGAGGTGCATCATCGGCAGTGAACGTGTTAAGCTGCTGTGCAAACCAGATCTTTACTGCATTGATCAAATCAGTGTCTAAGGTGAAATGATGGCTCTTCAATGCAGGCTTAACCTGTTACTTGAGTGCGCTGAGTATACTTATTATGGGATTTGAAGATATGTGACTGTTGTTCAGTGAAACATTAATAAAATACCATTTCCATTGAATATAAAGAATGAAGCTCCATTGCATATGTAAGTTGCCACAGAAAAAACTACCCACCCAGTCTGCCACCACCATGCAAAACTTGCCAGTTAAGTGGTTAAGAGAGCCAAAGATATGGAAATCATATTGTGAAAGATCAGGGCTGTTGCAAGATCTCCCAGCAGATCTCTGGAAAGCATGTCACAGTGGCAATTGCAGTGTGCAGCAGTGTATTGTCATGCAGCAGGATGACACTGTGCATCAAGAGGTCAGGACATTTCCTCTTCATGGCTGAATGCAGACAGCTCAGGGTTGAACAGTATATTTGGTGCTTATTGTCATCCAACAGGAATTCTGTTGACAGCAGTCCATAGATGTAAAAAAAAATGTCAGCATGACCTTTCTTACTAATGTCACAGCTTTGAACTTCAGTGGTGAGCCAAAGTCTTTCAATTGCTTATGGTGTTTTGTCTCTGTTTCAGAATGGTAGTACCTAATTTTGTCATCAGTGAATATATGATCAAGAAAGTCATTACCCTCATAGTCATAATGTTCCAAATGAGCAAGGGACAGTTCCATGTGTCCTATGCTTTAGGTCTTGTGAACTTCTAATGTGGGAATTTTCAATCCATGGGTTTACCACTAATGGGGAGCTTTTTCAAGAAATTCTTAGATGGATTTTGTGTTCAGAACAATTTTTCATGAAAATTCATACTATTCTATTATAGTTGAATGCTATTGGTACAGATAAATTGTAACAAAAATATCCATAATGGAAAAAATCTCTATGACAGATATGACTGTCATATCCACTAATGAGGTTCTGTATGCATTGAGGGACAATGGTTTCACCTCAGACACTGACATGAACAATGCCATGAAGATTTGGTGGGCACAGAAGCCTAAGACATTCTATATGACAGGCATCTGTCTGTTGGCATGTTGTTGGGTTTAGTGCCTAAATAGCCACAGATGTTACTTCAAATGATAATGCTCCCTTGCCTAATGGTGCCATCTGAATCTTTCTTTCTTTCTTCTACTTCTACTTTCTACTTTATTTTGACTGCACCCCATAAAAAATATATGCTTGTACATTGTAAGTACATGATTCTTGGTGCCAGGTTACAATACTTTCAAGCAATTACAAAGTGAGTGAAAACTTATATGCAGTATAAGGGCTGACAAGGTAAGTCCAAAGACAGAATGATAGAGGGAGGGGGAGTGAGTATTGAGTGGGGCATTTACAACCACATCCCCCTCCACCTCCCTTCCCCCATGCTCAATGGTCAAGTCAGACTTGGGAAATCATGCATCCAAGAAATTATAATGAAATTTTGGGCATATTTACTCTTGACTTTCATAGTCTGCAGAAAAGGAAAAAAATATGACAACAGCTACATGCTTCTAGCTGGGAGTAAGTTGGATAGGAATGAGATTTAAAGGGAGGTTCACCATGTATAAGATACTCACATGGTTCTCAAGCTTATCAAGTGCATACTTCCCCCTAAGAACATTGACTTAATGAAACACCCCCCCCCCCCTTCTTCCCCTCCCTGACTGCAACATCCACTTTGAGGAATGCATGCACAATACTGTAAATTATTCCGAAAATGTGGGCATCTCTGGAAGAGAAACAATATATATGGACATGACTTTATAAATCCCAACATATAATGCAACAGAGACATTACTTATACTTAATTATCTCTATCCTGTAAACATCATAAAATACTCATATTTTCTCCAGCCAATTTACCATTAAATAATTTTACAAAGGGGAACTAAATTTTTTTTACATGATTAAAAATATTGAAGGGAAAGTGGTTGACATGCATAGTTCAAACCAATTTGTTGTACCAATGAACCCAGTCTATGAAAATGGGGGGAAGATGATTATAAACCAAAATTAGCTTAATTGAAAAAAAACTGATATTTGGAAGAAAATAGTGTCTCTCAAGATGATAATGCAGGAATGCAAAAGTTCCAGCTGCAAATCACCAGAGATACCAGGGTAACTCAGCATGACAGTGTTGCAAGGAGAGAGGAAAAAAAAGAATGTGAATTGCTTTTGTAAAAGCATTGGTGAAAGGATTCAGGACAGATGCAAATAAATGGACAAACTTTTTAGGATGGTTAGAGGATAGATAGAGATAGTTACATAAAAATCTTTTCCCTATAAAGTGCTGTTTCATGAACATCAAGAAATTTCAAGGGGAGGTGTGCTACATAAAATTTGACAGTGCTCAATATTAACTCACAACTAGCAGGGTACCACCCTCCCTCCAGATTAATCTTAAACCACCATCATGGCTCAAAAAGTTTCATTCTAGGTGGAATCCTCCTGCATATACATATGGCAATGAAAACCTAAACCACACTGATATGACACACTCTTTTATCAAAGAGAAAGTGCACCAAGATTTGGGGGAAGAAGAGGCAAACTGTAACAGTAGGTGTAACAGTGGATGATATACACCACTGATCACCCTAAATATAAATTCTTTAACCCAAATTATATACTTGTCTAATTTGAATTTTAAAAAGCAAAATTAGATGAGGCAAAAATTTTCTCACCATTTCTATCCTCTGCTGGAGGCCATAATAGTCCTGTGAATGAACCGGCAAGCTTTCTGTTAGGAAAAGTAAACAAGGGGGTGACAAACCTTGCAGAAGCAAATATAAGGACAAGTATCAGGAAATTTTTGCATTTGATTCCCCACTTTAGGCTTCATGAGACAACCTGAATAAAGAAGAAGGAAACTATACTTTGAAATGTCTAAAGCCATAAGAAAACAGTTGGGTGGGGGTCCCCAATTAGTATAATCCACAGTTCATTAGGCAGAGGTCAATGAAGAAATGACATTAGCACAGTTAGCCTAAAGATACAGAACAAGGCTGCATACTTTTATGCTGCCAAAAAAAAGCTTCCATTTTCAATTAAAACAACTTTAAAAAATAAATAAAAATACAGCCTCAGATGCTGATTCACATGATGCAGGGCAAAAAGGATAAATCAGGTATACTCTGCTGAAATAGAGTTTGTATTAAGTTCAATCTTTCTTTCAGAATGCATACAGTAAGTGTAAGTGCATAATTCATCCACATCATCCTGTTCCATAGTGGATCATGTTTAATACACATTTTGATTATGAAGCTGTTTTTGACCCAGTAAGGCTAGGATGAGTGCTGCAAATGTCAGCACTAGGGGTGATCTCAGCACTTTGCAATTGTCAACCATCTGCTTCCACTACCAGTCCCCTAGGTGAGGGAAGAAATACATTCCCAGATGGTGGAACAAATGTTGGCATGTGCATGGAACAGCCCTATTTGCTGTTGTAGTTTTCTCACAGTAGCTGCCTTCTCTAAGCACACTCTAAAAATCCTGAAAAATCTTGCAAAATTGCTAAGCTTCAATCATTCCCATTCTTCTCTTCTGCACTAAGTATTCTTTTATTAGTTTGTTGCATTCATTTTGGAGTCCATTGTAAATTACAGAAATTCTTAGGTGTACTGAGATTCCTGACAGTGGTGTTGACTATGCCAAAAAGTGTGTTGAGATTCCCAACATCCATCCTAACTTTACCTTTGACCCAGGCCTTCAGGAAGGAAAGGCCCAGGGCACTTGAGGCGAAGGAAACAAGGAAGTACGAGGTGCAGTCAGAAAGTCCGTACCACACACTTCTAGCATATGTTTCAGGATTTAGTTGGAATTAATTATGGTTGGACAAGGTAGTATTATCAGATGTGATTCAGACAGTAAATTGCGAACAAAGCCAGTATTGTTGTTTGTGTGCAGCATTGGTTTTTCAATGCAGTGTTTTCCCCACTGTCCCTGAGCAATGGAGTTCACAGTGGAAGAACGAAGAGCTGTGATCAAATTTCTGTCAGCACCTGGGGACAGCACAGCAAATATTCACAGACAGCTATCAGAGACATGTGGGGGCTTTGCCCTCGCAGATTGCTCTGTTCACAAGTGGGTTTCCCTTTGTTCAACCCAGAAATAAAGGGACAGTTATGGCAATGGAAGCTATCTGACTCCCCACCACCCAAAAAGTTCTGCCAGGTCCAATCCAATGAGAAAGTTCTTTATGCCATATTTTGGGACAAACAGGGTTTGGTTCTAGCTCACACAGTTTCCAAAGGTGGAACCATTAATGGAAGTTACTACAAACCTGTGTGACAAACTAATCTTTCACCAGCAGTGAACAAATTGCATCAGATGAAAGCCAATGGCTGGTTCATTCTTCACCAGGACCATGCACTACCACACAAGGCAGGTGTTGTAAGGGAGATTTTGCAAGGAAATGATATCTAAGTCTTGCCCCATCCTCCATACTCATTGCACCTGGTAACCAGCAACGTTTGAATGTTGTCCAAACCCAAGGACTTGTTAAGGGGTAAGAAGTATGGCTCCTGACAAGCCCTTGGTACTGCAGTTTACCAGTGGTTTTAACATACACCTGAAGAAACATTTACCAAGTGCATCAGTGACTGGCAACAAAGGTGGCAACTGTGTGTAGATGAAGCAGGTGATTCTGCCAAGAAGTTATCACAGGCTCTATTCAGTTCTCCTGACTCTAAATGAGATATGGCTCAACAGTATGAACTTTCTGACTGCACCTCATATATACGGTGATTGAGGTATGACCTGACCCAGCATGAACATGGAAGCTCCATTATAGAAACCACAAGACAAGGTGGAAGTGAAAATTTTGCTCCAAGTGCTGACATTCTCAACACTCACCCTACCAATCACTGAATTGGGACAGGGTTTGCTGCCCCGGTTGACCTGATTCAGGAACTCCTGGAACTGGTCAGACTGGCTTCCTGATTGGTTTCAGTCATTTTATCCTCCAGTGCAAGTTTTGTGATCTTTGCCTCATTTTGTTTGAAAATGTGAAGGAACTTGACTCATTCAGACAGAACGCTACCATTTGAACAAATGTTACAATTCAAATCTCTTTTTGAGCAATTATAAAAATGGTGTTGGCTCCAGAAACTCATAAACCAAATGACAAAAGCAATACACTTGGTTTCTACTGTTGGATTTTTAAACACCCTGCATGCTGAATTTCTTCCATAACTGACCTAATCAAATCCTCCCCCTTTCCTGATTAACAGAAGTAATGCCAGGATGTATAACAAAATATAAAATTTTGAAAAGGAAGCCTAAAACCACCCTCATGAACACCCACCCTTCCTAAGCCTAGTAAATAAATATCAGTAGTGCAACAAACAGGAAAATTCAGAGTTGTAATCACTTTTAGGGGGCATTGACTGCAGACTAACCTGATTCAGAAAGTGCATTATCATCATCTTGAGACAGAAGGCAGCTCATATCAGAGGGGGTGAGGTCTTCATCAGGTATCTCCCCTTTCTAATAATAAATGTAAGTCATACCTTTTTCAAGCAAAAAAACAAAAAACAAACCATGTCATGTAAATTTACACAATAATATCTAATGGAGCATGTGTCCTAAAGGAATTTTAAAGATAAACTATCCAGAATCCTACCAGTAGGGCTTAGAATCCAGCATTCATTAGATTGCAGCATTTATTTTTTATTATGTGTGCATCAGAAATTAAGAATAGAAACTTTGGAAACGGGAAGACCAATCTTTTGCTGAACCTGATATGTTCATTTTTCACTTCTCAGAACAGAAAGTAGTTTTGCCTCTTATACAATTAGAAGAGTGGGTAAATGAGCTCTCATGCTTTTAATACATACACAGTTGTATACAAATTGTATATATGGATTCAACTGTGACAGAAGAATTCCTTATTTTAAAATTCTGGGGTGAAACAAACATCATTGAGGGGCCCTGTAGGTTATGAAGATATGCTTTCAGCTCAGAAAATGAGGTTAAGGCTATAGGATTGCCAGGATTCAGGAGAGAAGGTTTCAAAAATAGCAAAAGGATCAAGAGCACATTCCCAAGTTGTTTATCTGACTAAATTATAACATTTTTTATGAAAGCACTTAGGGTTTAGCTTCCTATACAAACCTAGAAAACTTCAGTCTCCTATGCCTAAAGAAGAGAAACTTGAAAATGCAGCATCCACTTTCAGCACTGACAGTGCCTCACCTTTTTCATTCTCTGTAGCAGCCAACAGTGCAGAATACCATTGGTAGCAGCCATTGCCTCTATTACAAATGTCACAGTCACATAACTGGGAGAGGAAGAAAAATTATATATATAAATAATGTCACAAATCAGCATCACAAACTAAATCTATCACAATATTGGCCTTTTCCTCCATAGTGTTCAGGAATGAACCTCAATTAGGAAAATACATGGGAAACCTTTGGAACCCAAGTAGTATGCAATCATCTGATGGATATATATATTCCTTCCAACCAAGGATATCCATTGGACCCCTCTTCACAAGCCCAAGAAAAATCTTTCTGAACATCCATGTCTCCTGGTTTTGTTTTTTTAACCCCTAAAGTACAACAGCTGTATATCTGTGACAGCTATAGTATTACTCCTCCAGCTTACAGTCACTGGTACGTGATTTTAAATTTAGCGCGTGAGTACTATTGTCCTAGATTTTATGTTAGATTTAGTATTAGTTTCATCATATTGCAAGATTTAACAGTCACATACTTTAGTAAGTGAACTGCTAAGAAAACTCAGTCTGAGGATGTTGTATGCCTGTACTAAACCTAGTACTTAAAGGGTTAATCTACAAAATCCAAGACATGAGTAAATGCCCATTGGAGATCTCAATGAAATGATGGGACCATGAGTACTTCTACTTTTTGTATAGTTCATTCAAGGATTGTTTCTGTTTTCACAAGACTGGGCTGAGTAGACAGGTACAAAGCAAGTTCTCCTGAAACAATCCAAAGTCAAGATGAAGGGAATTTCCAATCATTAGAATGTATATTTGTAGAATGCACATTCTGCAGCATTTACAGAAAGCTCATTCTTCAAAACTCTGGTGGCCATGCACAATAGTTATATGATGGACATAAAAGGGCTATGTCCTATGGACATCCTTGAGTGGAACCATTTTGTTGTCTGTAGGCATCCTATTGGGATGCCCCTAGGATGCACTCCTGTCCAAGTAGGATGCATAATAATGCCCCAGGGATGACACTATGCCCTTTTGGGAATATATGAATGTGAATAGTCATAATGGGATCTATGAAATAAGCCATGAAAGGCACATAATAGAATGGAGTCTTCCTATGATGTAAAAATAAGTTCATTATATTTAACGCCCATGGAATTTGCTGAAAAAACATTTTTTAACCTGATTTTAAAAATAACCACTTCATATCGATACACCATTGATGTCAAGGACATGAGCAATTACAGGCAAAAATGGGCAAGAATGGCTAACAATCCAAGTTTTTCATTGCCTATAACATAAGCTTTTGCACATGGGAACTATAGTTTATTGAGAATAAATACTGAATTACAATTGCCTAGGATGAAAAGAATGACATTATTTATACACAGGAAGTTGTCAAGGTACAAGACTTGATGAACCTTCCAGTACTTCAGTATTGACCTCAAGCCTCATGCATACAAAACTGATGTCATTTTCACTATGTAGCCCATAAACCATTCTTTACTGTTTATGAAGAGAAACAGTACTCACCTGACAAAACCAAGAAGCACCAAAACACAGAGACTCAGCAGCCATCCTGCTCCACTAAATGCAGCAGGCAAAGTCAGGGCTCCCGTTCCAACAATCAGGTTAAAAACATATACCAGTCCCATCTGAAAAAACATAAAACTCAACTGACAATGAATCTTGCAACAATAGTCTTTTTTTTTATTTAAGAATTTATCTTGTTTAAAAATGCTGCAATCCATTGAGCATTTTAATTCTTTTCCTTCCACCTTAGTTCATTTCTAAGACTTTACAGAACTCTTGGGGAAGGGAGGGGGGGAGAAGCTGATGAAGGGAGGCACTCACCCATGGTGTGTAGGTATCTCTCCCACCAGGACTGAAACCCAATGCCATGATATGAGATCAACTCAAATTATCACATCAGATCAATGTGCAAATTCGTGCAGTCACGATGTTGTCTCTCAGATTATGAACTTAGTGTACATGAAAGTCATACTAGATTCAGCACTAAGCATGTCTTGAAAGCACACCAAGGAACAAAGACAACTGACCTGGAAAGCAAAGCCAACAATATTTAAGGAAGTAGATCTAGCACTCAATGAGAGATAACTTCTTGCAAAAGCATGCATCCTTCTCAATTTAAAGTAAGGGATCTACAAATTCAGCAAATATTACAGCCTAACTTTTGGCCTGCCAACTTATTAGTACAAGTAGCACATACACTTGTTACAGTCTAGGAATTGCTAACATGCAAATAGGTAAAACTCCTCCATCAGGAGTACACACAAAGGCAATGCCCAACTTTTTCCACAAGGGATATAAAAATAAAAAGCAAAAGAAATATATTTTATTTTGGATTCTGGAAGATGATCACAAAGAACTCAGGGAGTAAAGAAAAAAACTCTCCAGGAACCTGTGAAACAAGTAGCTACCTTTCCTACATTAGTGTCTTCAAGAATGCATCCTTAGAATGAATCCCTAACCCTTTCATGGGCCGTGGGAATCATACTTTCACCAGGATTCTTATTAACCCCTTCCAGGTCAATTTTTTTAAGCCAAAATTGTGGTCCAAAAATGTAAATTTATTTTAATCAAATTTCATTCCTCTTTTTTTCATTTCATGCATATTTTTAACATAATTAGGCACATAAATTCAATACAGTAATATTTTCTGCTGCCCGAACTGTGTTCAGGCAAATCACTGAAGGAGTTAATGCATTAAGAAACCCACTTGCCACTGATACCAGTTGATATCAGTGGAAATTTGATATTGGTCACATTCACATCTGTCCCTTGTTCCACAAACTAATAGAATGTTTCTGTGTTTCTGTGCAATTTATTTAATAGAAAAAAAATGTAGAAAGACATGCAAAGTTTCCCAGATACAAATTGCCCATGAAAGGGTTAAAGGAATGAAAAGACATCTGTCTTTCTTATTCTCAATGCAACTAAACAGCATGATCAACCATATCAAAATAGAATTTCATAAAAAGGTACACCATAAGTACCTGCTTGATACTAGAGCACATTTGAACATGGCACACTACCATTCACCCCTGTTCAAAATATATTTCCCATTACTCTCTTTATGAGATAAGGCAAGCATAATTTTTTTTTTACTGGCAGGCATATACCTGTTCTTTTCTTCTGCCACCTTTTCATTATTTCTCCTTCTTTCTATTCTGATCCCCACCAACATAAAGTAGACAACTCTGTCAATTATTAGTCACCAGACTGTCATGGGTGGCAATATGCAGCCATGAAGATAAATACAAAAGGCAGGCCAGCTCAGTGAGATATAAAGAGGCAGAAATTCACTTCTTCAGTAGTGATTTCAGATATGAAGTCCTCTTTTTTTTATTATAATTTTTAGCTAATAGAATGCATACATTCCACGTAATTACTGAATAGACATGGAAATGAGAATGGTATTAACCTTGACCAAAAGGATGAACTCTCATTACACTGAAGTGTTTTGAGTCTGGTTATGGTTGGCTTAAATCAGGGGTGTCAAACATGCCCATGAGCCAGATTGGCTCGCAGAGATGGTTCATCCAGCCCACTGTCTGTTCTTGAAATTTCTGCTTGGATTGACTGTTAGCACAAACTTTGGGGGAAAATTATGTGTGCTGCCCACAGGCATCTGTAGGGTAAGGAATGTGGCCTGCAGACCGATTGGAGTTTGACACCTCTGGCTAAAATGATACTCATGCACCTAACTGCATGTAAAAGGGTCAAAGAAGATTGATGAGCAACATAAATAAAGGAAGATAGGAACTGGGGAGAGAGATAAGAGTGATACATGGGCTAATACAATGATTTTCTAGCTGTATCCCCCCTAATATAGCAAAGGAAGAAATAGCTAATTCTCAACTTAGTCACTGATTTAGCCAGGGGCAGTTATTTTGGGATAACAGATGTCACTCAGTTGGATGACATGTGGCACCACCCAAAGGGGGTGCAATAATTTGAAACGCACTGAACCCCTTTGTTGCAGGTTTTTCTTGCAAAGAAATCCTAGCTTGCAGGTTCGTTATGTGTATTACTTTGACCATTAACTCCTTTGCTGCTATCATGGTCAGTTAACTGACCACAAAAAGGGCCTGCTGTGTGCTAGCATGGATATATGAATTTTCTATACCTCCTTGCCATAGCATTTGGGTGCAAAACATTATCCTCAGGCAACAAACTTTCTCTTTTCCTGTTATCCTTCAGCACAGGACAGGGTATATACTGCAACCCTTGGCCACAGCAAAAGGGTTAACATGAAGAAAAGTTACCAAGTGAAGTTTCATATACATTCTGACAGTAGGATGGGGTCACAAGCATCACAACAACCTTCTCCTTGGTTCCTCCCTTCCCTCCCCTTGAACCTGCAGCAGGACATGACCACATAACTTCCATGCACTTCCTGTACCAGTCTGACTTTTACAAATTAGCAATGACAAACTAAAATTAGACTTATTGCTTCATATGCTCATTGCTCTTCTCTATGATCTGAGACAGCAAGACATGGCAAGCGAGTGATAGGAGATACAGAGAGGGCATGAAGGAGTGAGAGGGAATGGCATATCATAGCCACATGCAAGTCCCGTGGAGTCAAGCCATGAAAACAGCAAATATTTTTGCAGGCCTGTTTTGAGTGTCATGCTCAGCTGTCTCTGCATCTAGTCTGGATGGGCCTCAAAAGAAAGATAGAGAAGGGGGCCATGCAGGAAGGAAACCAAGACTGTTGTATGTACACACTCCTGCAGTAGACTCCACTCACGGGGTTCCCCTGGGCGATTCAGATGAAGCATGCATGAATGGACAGAAATGTAGTGTGGATCGTGTGCAGGTGGAAGGCGGCGGGTGCAATTCGTTCACTACTCCATATGCTTAGAGGTTCCTTTCCAATTCAGTTCGCCAACATTTTGGTTGACTCCGACGCTTACGCATGGAAGGTGCCACAGACGGGTATTGAAGTCATCTGCAAAAGTGTTGACCTAATGCAACACAACCCCTTAGCGTTAGGCCTAACGCATGAGAATGATTCATAGGCCTAGCACAAGAATAACATTAATTGGTCTATTCGACGTCAATAGATAGTCACAATCACGAAAATCTCCTCACATTTATCGATATTACATTTTTCAAAACGCTTAAAGCATCAAACTTAAGTTGTGGGCTTCTTTCAATTCCAAGTATACACGTGTCCACGTGTTTCTCTGTTAAAGACAGAGTAGAGTCATACACGGGTCGGTTTTTACGAATCCTTCCCGAACGGTCCGCGCCCGATCGGTAGTCCGACTACTAACTTCGGAGCCCGACCCGACCTGAACCCTCACCCCCAAACATATTCTGCAGTGTTTTTTTTTTTGCTTTTTTTTTTTTACTTGAGTCGGACAATTTTTCGCTGGACAAGAACACTTGTGCTTCAAACTTCTTCATGCATGGGAGTTCTAATCAAGTTGAAAGCACTGTCATGCCATCACCCACGATCCAAGACACTAGCAGTCTCGGCATGCTATTATTTGTATAGAGTGGGACAGTGGGAGATAGTGTATAGCCTTCATTGAGAAAATTTCCAGTACACCAGTCATGCAGTTTCATGTCTTCCGGGAGTGAGGTAAATGAGACACAAATCTCGTTTTCTGCCTTTTCAATCACCCACCGTAACTCTCCAGTGGGGAACGTGTTCTGAAGTGAGAGGGCAAAAATGCAGCTGCTCCATCTTCCCCGTCCTTCCCCTTCCTGTCCATTTTCAATTATTCCATGCGATTTCAAGTTTTAAATAATCGTTCCTCACTCTTCTATGCATAATTGAAAATAAACTATGAATATCGTATTTTTCAGTAGCAGCTGCAGCCGGAAAGTAAGGGGGGAGGGGGGGGGGGGGGGGGGAGAGGGACCATGATCTTCTTGGCCTCCCCGGTTCCGCTGCTCCTCTTCACCCTAATGCATTATACCATGCTCATTCTCACTGCATGTTGACTGGAAATGAGCAACGTTCACGTCGTCCCAATATCCATGGTCCACACCTTGGAAAAGAAAAAGCAGCAAGTCACTCGAGAGAACTTCGACACATCTGAAAGAGAGACCTCCGAAATCCTGTCCTTAAATGGCCCTCGGGTCAGATCTGGCCAGCCTGCAACTCGTCCTCCACTCGCCATGCACTCAACAGTATATTGTAATTTTTCCAAAAAATTTTGAAGTTTGTTTTCGATTTTAGACAGCTGGGGATATGCCATTGGTTTAAATACACCAGCGCCATCTCTATTAAATTTGTATGAACTAACGGATAGTTCATCTATCTGACTCATGTCAGATGACGGACGTCATGAAGAAGGATGGATTTTGATTATAATGGTTATGTCATACATACATCTAACTGGCATGTAGTTAGTTTTACACCTTCTGTGTAAAAAATGAAAAATGTGGAACGCATGGAATTGTATCTGTATCTTCTTTGGACATGAAAAGCCGCGGTAGTCGGCAGTCGAAAACAAGTCTCTTTTCGGATATATGCTTGGAGGAAAAGCTGGGAGAACATTTCGAAAATGAGATAACTTTCGACTCCAATGTTGCAGGCGTCGTAAATTCTCAAGCTAACTCAGCTATTCTTTTTTTTTTCCTTGAAAAAAAAATTCAAAAAATTTAATTAAGTACGCACATCATTTCATTTTGGAGGCAGAGGTAATAATAGAGATAAGCCTAGCAACAGGAACTCCTCTCGCCTGAGTCACCTTCCCGCCTTCCTGCTAGCTTCAACTTTCTCATGGATGTTCGAAGAAGGGCGTAAAGTTTTATCCTTGCAGGATGCACAGCCTTGCCTAGTATTAAACTACCTCTTCTTGGACGTGGGTTATACAACAGCGAATCGAGTGACTCATTCGGTAGTCCGATCGCAGCCTGCGAATTAAACCTAAGAGAGGAGAGAGGTATTTCTTTATTGACAAAGACAGATAATTGCATGCTTACCAAATAATTTCACCCTAACACCATTTTAAAATTTGTTTTTTATTTCCGAAAAGGAGAGGGTGACGATGATTATAGACGCGGGAGCCATCATCGGCGGACTTTCTCCGAATCGGGAAGGAGGATTTCCTTCATGTCCTTCAAGGTCTCATGAGACACGAAATAAGATTCGGCGGGATGCTGAATGGCTGGGTCTATCTTCTCCCTCGTCGCACCGACGGTCATCCGGAATCCCTTTGCCCGATTTCCTCCACAACATCCATGTTGGCATTTTTGGAGCTCCAGTTTGGACTGACAGTCTCGGTCCTGGGTGCATCGATACAGTGAGTTGCAGTCTCCCTTCGGCTGCTCTCCGGCTCTCACCCGTCTCCAGCGTGACTGCTCACCTAGATGCGGCCAAGAGCGATCTCAAAATTATGGAAAACTGAAGAAAAAATACAGCTTCCAAACGAAATCGACTCTTCGAGGAAAGTAAATCGAATGGAAACTAGGAAGGTGTGACTTCCCAAACTCAAGAGGATTGAATATCATTGGAAATACCAATTATGCTTTGTTTTGAATGGAAGGACGATTCAAGATAATGATATCAAGAGGCGATTTCACCCATTTCGATATCACGTGTCGAAGTCGAGCGTTCCTTAATTTTAGGGTAGGCCTAATCCTCTTAAAGCTAAATATTTTTGTATTTTTGGGTTTTTTTTTTTGCGTAACCAGCTGCTTACTGTCTAGTACAGGGCTTCCCAACCCAGGGGTCGCCAAGGTCATGTTTGGGGTCGCGAACCGGCAACTACAGTGTTTCCGGAATGACTTTAACCCCTGTTAACATGGGCTCCATACTTTTCAATGGACCCTGTTGGCGCTCAGCAAAGTAGTACTTCTAACACTAGCAATAGATGTCGCTTCAAGCAATAGAAGCGTAATCCAGCCCTCAATCTCGCCGTAAGACAGTGGTCAGTGACCAGTGTTGGAGTCGAAAAACTATTATATGCAAAGTATATGGCAAAATCATATATTTCAGCTCAATGGAAGTAATTAGTTACATTTTAACAGGTCTGATTGAAGATTTCATTAACAAAAATAATAATAAAAAAATAATAATAGTCGTTTATTCATGATTCTGGAATAATTGTGCATCAGCAAATTGCATTTCATCGTCAAAGGGTAGACATAGAAAGGGTAACAAAATTAAGGGGTTTGTACTGAGCCAGTGTGGCGGTCTTCTCAGGTAGTTTTCTGGTTTATCAAGCAGGTCATGAAGGGAATTGCTGACTGGTAGAATCTGCGCGTTCGGCACTTATGCTCTTGCGAGAGAGATGAGATGTTTCTTGTCAGGTTCATGGGTGGACATTGTAGGTAGGGAGGAAAGGCCTGCCGTCGCGATGGTTTTTTTTTTTTTTTTTAGGAGGGCATGGGCATATTTAGATGTAAGATCCAGTCGTCTTTTCTGCAAGGATGGGATGCCCAGGGTCGACAAGGCCTTTTCGTAAGTTTCGTATTTATGCCCAAGGATTAAGCGTAGGGCACGCTTCTGCTCCTGTGCGATGGCAAATACGGCTCGGCCGGGCAGGGACCAGACACATAGGAGGTCCTGCTGACGTGCGCCAAATGATTTCAATATCTTTAGCATGTACATTAGCATTCATTACAGAAGTGCTTTCCGGGGCGAATATGCTCGGTATCGTTTCCTCGGTATCATTGGAGGTTTTCTTTTCCATGTTTTTCTTTCACTCATTAAATATCTTTATCAATGAAAATCTCACAATCCCATGATGAAGTCCGTAGCCCATCTATTGCATCAGGGCGGGGGGGGGGGGGGGGGGGGAG